GTACGTAGAACCCTCAAAAACTGACAAAAGACAGCGAATTAGCAGCAAGCAGTCGCATCAGCACCGGTGACCCAAGTTGGAGTTGTCTGAGGCTCGCGCGTGTTTTTCCACCAGGGGGCTCCCCCAATCACAACGGACGTTCCCTCGCTCGCTTCTCCATTTTGAGAGCCTTCGAGGCTCGGTCGCCATTCGGCAAACTGCTGCTGTCCAAAAGTCAACAAAGAAAAAAAGTGCCATTTCCAAGTTCAAGGCGATTCGCGCATAGGTCGACACATGACCTATTTCCCTTTTTCATGTGTTTGAACGCAGTACTGATTAAAAAAAAAAAAAACATACACTGTAAACAACAAAAGCGCAGTACATTGGTGGGATTATGATGGGATTACTGTACACTAGGAATCATTTGAGATTAAGGAAAGGGGAGGGTGCACTGTTGAAAGGTGCCTCATCTGGAACCCACGACAACAAACATTCACAATTGTACACTTGGTGTCCTCAGATACCAGTGACCCGAGTTTTAGAGATACAAGCCGTTGTGTTGTTTTTTTTTTTTTTCTTTAAATTGTTGGAAAAACTTGAGATGCTTCTGCTGTATGATGGGAGTGACCGCAAACACAACTCGCTTCACAAAAAGCAGCAGTTCGGTAAAACGTGAAAAGTTTGTGAAAAAAAAAGAAAACCACATAAATTTAAACCATTTATTCTCTCTCCCAGTGAGTCTGTACTGTCAAACGAAACGCAAAACAGAGTGACACGTTATGGATTTAAAACCACGACATAGTTTCAGATCATCCATTTATTTTAATGCCAACAAACAATTACACTGCGAGACTCTTGCATCTCCCGTGTTTAACCTCACCACAGAATTTCTGAAGGTAGGCCAGCGGACCTAATCCTAACACACAATGCGAAACACCAAAGACGAGACAGGCTAAAGAAACTAGCATCAATGTCGAGGTAGTGTATTTTTTACAGACAGTATATACTCCCGCAGCGGCTCCTCTTGTTGTATGTTGTGAGAGGGAAGAAATTTCATCTGTGCTGTATGTTGCAGCACATTTGACAATAAAGTTGTACTTGATAAATTTACAGTACACACACACACACTACACACACACAGGCAGGGGCCCACTGTATGCAGTATATTTCTGGATTATACTGCCCTCTGGTGGCCAAGGTGCGCACACTTGAAGGAGCAGCACCATGTCCGCAAACTGTTTTCATAATTCTTTCTATTCTATTGAATGATGTCATGACTGTATGTTTTTTATGCCATACAATCATAGTGTGATGTTCTCAAAATCACATTGCAATTTTTTTTTTGGAGGGGGGGGGCTGTCACTGAGCAAATTAAAATTGCATCTGAAGGCCCCACTGTCTATACTAAGCATCAGTAAGAAAGAAATGTTTCCTATATACAGTCAGGCCCATTCCCCCCCCCCCCCGCTCCCGAAAAGCGTCAAAGTGAATTTGTGCATGCTGCGGCTCTTGTTGCATCCCCCCTCCACCGCCCCCCCGCCTTGATTTCATAAAAGCACATTCTCCAGAGAGCTTTAGTCTACCTTTTTATAGCATCCCCTTGAGCGCCATGCTAATGCATGTCACAAAGTAGGCTGCATGTATCGAGGGGAAAATAGGTCGCCCGGCGCATTATGCATACAAACCTGGTTACGGCGCTGTTTAATGGCGCGCATTCCGCACCCATGCCTTGAAATTGCCACAGATAAAAGGATTAAATGCCGTTTTGTTTCGAGCGCACGTGTGTGAGAAATATATTTGGACTGCGCAACAACCGGAGATACACTCACACACTCGGGTACACCTACACGTTTGAAACAGGGCGCACATGCTAGACCGACTTTTGCAATGTGAGCGATGCTACATAATAAATAAACGTTGGGCGAGCCCCCTTGCGGACTATCTTTCAAACGCGTCATTTTTTTTCGCCTTTGGCTTCTGTCTCCGCATGAGACTTGATTTTGAGCGTGACCGCTTTTGTGCTTTCTCCTGTTTTTGTTATGAACTGATTGTTTTACTGTTTGTTGTAAACACGACACGATGTGTCGTATGACGTCTTTTTGCTCCGTGTACAGCACTTTGGATAAAGCGCCGGTCGTTTTCAAGTGCTCTAGCAAAAAAGAGTTGAGTTCATGATTGCACAAAAAAAGTTCAATAAAAGGATGGTGCCGAAATGAATGTTTTGAAACAGTTCTTCAAGGTGCACTGTTAATATTCATCCGCCTAGCCACGATCTGAGCGCGATCGCGGGCGTGCCGGAGCCGATTTCAGGCAGTAGGCGGGGTACACCCTGAACCGGTCGCCAGCCCATCGCAGGGCACACATGGACAAACAGCCATTGGCGCTTACAATCACCATTTAGAGCCTTGGGTCAGCTGACCATGCGTGTTTTGGGAATGTCGGAGGAAACCGAGACCAGGCAAACTCCACACAGGAAGCTCGAGGCCGGAAGCGAATCCCGTACCTCCGCGTTGTGCGGCGGACGCGCTAACCGGTCGAGGACCGTGCCGCCACCGTTCACATATTGTACTAAAAAATGCGAACGTCAACTGAGCTCGGCTTAGTCAGCGATTCTTGTGCATCCACGAGAGGAAGCCTGCGTAGCACACTTTGATTTCATTAACGGAGGCGACACAGTGAACGGCTCGTTAGCACATCCGCCTCGCAGCGCAGAGATGCGGGGTTTGATTCCAGGCTGCGGCCTTCTTGTGCGGAGTTTGCACGTTTTTTCTCTGGGTAGTCCGGCTTCCTCCCGCATTCCAAAAACATGAATGGCAGGCTGATGGGACACTCGAAACTGTCCCTAGGCGTGATTGTGAGCGCGGATGGTGGTCTGTCCCTGCGTGCGGTGCGATGGGCTGGCGACCGGTTGAGGGTGTACCCCGCCTACCGCCCGAAGACAGCATATAGGCACGCCCGAGACCCTCGGAGAGCAGAAGCGGATTGGAAAATGGATGGACGGCGACTTGATCCGGATCGACTCATTATGAAATGTAACAATTGCGCCGTCACCGCTTTTGCATTCGTCTCCGTGTGCCGAGTGTCCCAAAAGGGCCCAGATGTACCTCGCAGATCTCGGATAGCTCACTCGGTCGAGCGGAGGACCGGAGAGGGACAAAGCGTAAAGTCCTTAAGTCTCTGGCTCAAAGGACATTTCGGAGAATTCCGAAACCTTCATTGCCAACAGGGAATTGAAACAAGGGCGGCAAATGAAACAAGACAACGCCACATTTGACGTTCCGATGGACACGTGTGTGTTGTCCGTGCCGACAGCCCCAGTTCTGCTGCAGAACCGACTCAAGTCGAGTCACTCGGTAGTTGTGCTCGGTTCCATCCCGGCGTTGACCACGCCCCTGCTTGACTGCAGCCCTCTCTCGTCTTTCTCACACTTCTTCTCCTCTGCTCGACTGGGGCCGCCCCGTGCGTGCTCTCTCGTTGCTCGCGTTTCAGTGGGGAGCGAGCAGGCTTGCTCTCTCTTCTTCACATGCGATCGGACGACCAGCAAGAAGAAGAAGAAGAAGAAGAAGAAGCAGCAGCAGAAGAAGAACGCGACGCCCCCCCCCGCTACCACCACCACCTCCTCTTCTTCTTTCTCCTCCTCCCCCTCGTCGTCGTGTGTCCCTCGGCAGGCCGGTGG